TTCAGCCCATCAAGTTCACACCACCCCTCCAAACCCAGACCCAGCCTCTCCCTGCATTTCTCATGGCTAACCCACCTAACCTGCATATCCCTGGATACTACGGGCAATTTAGCATGGCCAATCCACCTAGCCTGCACACCTTTAGACTGTGAGAGGAAACCCCCGCAGACATGGGGAGAACGTGCAAACTTCACACAGACAGTCACTCGAGGGTGGAATTGAGCCCGGGTCCCTGGCGCTTCAAGGCAGAAGCGCTAACCACTGAGCCAGCGTGCCACCCAACTTGCAACTGGACTGGTCATCCCCTCACGACTGCCAGGTCAAAATCAAAACCCACATCCTTGTCATGCTGTGGGTGTGCCTCCGTTATACAAACTGAAGGATTTCAAGGAAGCAGCTCACCTCATCACCTTCCCTTACGATCATTAGGGATGGGTAAAAATTGCTGGCTGTGTCAGCGACACTCATATCCCATGATTAACTTAAAAGAGAACACGCAGCAGAGTGCACATGGACTACCACTAAAAACTAGACCTCCCCCATCACTGACAAACCGCCTTTTTGCTGTGTTATTACATAACGTGAAGGAATTGGCTACCCACAGCGTCCACACTGCAAGCAGGACATGTATGGATTAGCCAGATGCGACAGAGAAGCATGAATGCTGTCACGTAGCAATCTCTCAGAGCAGCACCAGCCCAAACACAAATCTAGGGTTTAAAAAGTAGCATATAAAACAGGCTGGAGATATGTAAGAATATGACAGCTATCTTGGAGTCAACTTCAGAAATTGTGGACTTGAACAATGTCCAATTTTCAACTGAGCCAAACAGTGACTCTAAATTCTTTCTCTTAACCAGAAAATGAAAAATATATGGTGCTGAGCAGACAGAGTACAGATAGGAAAATGCCACAGTGTCAAAATGCTAATTATTGTACTTGAATATTCCAGCAGGTGCTAAAAGGCACAGAAAATTTAGATTGGAGGCACTGCAGGCAGATTTAGCATCATTCAGCTTGGGGGCTTCATTTTTGCTTTGCAAAGACTTCCTCCCTTCTCCTGTGCCTCATTCCCCTGGCCATTTGCCTGTCCTTGGAATTAAAGCATGAAAACTTTATTGTTGCATTTTTCATGACCTCAAATTGGTCCCAAGTGCTTTACATCCTGTGGCCTAACTTTCAAGCATCCTCACGGGGAGAATCAATTTACACACAGCAAGCTCACAGAAGTGCACATGAACGTCAGAGGCCAGATGACTTGCTCTGGTTGTCCACAGATGCAAGGGTCAGGCATGAGCTTAATGGCACCACTGTGACACCTTGCACCAGACATTCATGTCTTTAAATGACAACACTTACAAATTATAAACAGCAAGAGCTGGGGAAACTGAGCAGGTCTGCCAACATTCATGTCCAGTATGATTCTTCTTCAGCAGAGACTCTCAGAACACTCTCAGCGCAGTACTGAGGGAGCACTGCGCTGTTGGATGTTCTAACGATGAACCATGTCCCCAATGCCCGCCTGGGTGGATGTCCAGGACCTTCTGCCTCGAAATATTTTCTCATTAACCCGTTCAAAGATGTGATTACACTGCTCTAGAACAGGTGGGACTTGAATCTGGGCTTCAGAGGGAGGTACACTACCATGATGCTAACAGGGACTCTAACAAACTGTACCTGGTATCCTCAGGTGGTCTACCATTTAAGTACTAGCCAGGCCTGATTCTGCTTAGCCTCCAAGATCACACAAGATTGGACATTTTCAAACAAGCACAGTCGTAGGGCCTTTGGCTCTCATTCAAAGCAGAAAAGCCAATACCAATACCAATGACCTACTGTGTACAAATTGGCTGCAGTGTTTCTGTAGTGGGGCTTGACCGAAAGCTTGCACAAGACCTCTCTGTTTCCTGCACAGCATGCTACTGGTGGCTCCATGGATTTGCACCCGCGCAGGAATCATTTCCTTCACACTTCACCTGACAAACTTCATAATTCATACCGGGCAACCTCTCAGCTTTCTTCTTTCTCCAGAAAAGAGAGCAGCCCCACCTTGATCAGCGTTTCCCAGTAGGGACTTTCTGATATAAGAACAGGTGTACAAATGCAAGCTGCTGTTGTTGCAGAGTGAGTCGGAGACACGGATTTGGGATTTGAAGAGTTAAAGCAAGTGGGGGCGTTGGAGGTAAGATGTACCTCAGCTCCATTGGCATCAAGGGGCAGAACAGGTTCAAAGGGGCTGGATGGTCCCCATCTGTCTAAGCGATGACCTGTTGGTCAGATTGTTACTGCCTTGACATGGGGAATTGGGCATGTGCCTGCTGCAGCTCCTCATGCTGGAGGGTGGGGCCGTGAAAATCAGAACATTCAAACAGTGAAAAATACATCAGACTAGCTTTGCCAGAGACATGTGCTTATGCACGCAGATCTTGGAATCCCTACAGTGCAGGGATGCTGGCCCACAAAGTCTGCACAGACCCTCCAAGCAGCACCCCACCCAGACCCAGCTCCCCCTCTATCCCTGTAACCATTCACTTACCATGGCCAAACCACCTAACCTGTACACCTTTGGACTGAGAGAGGAAACCCATGCAGACACGTGGAGAATGTCTGTGCGGAGTTCGCACAGACAGTCACCTGAGGCTGGAATTGAACCTGGGTCTCTGGTGTTGTGAGGCAGCTGTGCTAACCACCGAGTCACCGTGCCCGCCACCAAAGAGACTCAAAGGAAGCAGCCTGAAAATGCTAATCATTCAACAACTTGCAATTAAACAACACTTTTATCGTGCCAGAGAGCTCACAAATAACATTTGAGACAAAGTCACTTCAGGACATATTCAGGCAGGTAACTAAAGGCTTGAGTCTTACGCAGCAGGTTTTAACAAGTTTCTTAAAGGAGAGGAGAGATGGTGAAAATGAGAGTGAGACTGAGAGAGAGAGAAAATGAGAGTGAAAGTGAGAGAGATATAGTGAGAGAGAACGTGTTAGAAAGTGAGAATAAGAGAGATAGTGTGTGTGAGAGAGAGAGACAGAAAGAGAGAGGTTTTGTTGAGAGAAATTCCAGAGTTTTGAGCCCAAACAGGTGAAGACATAGCCACTGGGGTAAGCTCAAAAGGTCAGAATGACAGGAATGTAGAGATCCCAGACTATTCTGAGGCTGGAGAAGATTGCACAGCGAGTGGGAGGAGCGAGATGACAGAGGGATTTGATGATAGGGATGAGAATTTTAAAGATGTGGTGTCCCTAGAGTTGGTGGGGGGCGGGGGGCGGGTCGCGGGTCGCAACGTAGGTCAGCAAGCCATCGGATGATAGTTAAGTGGGAATAAAAACAGAAGTTGCTGGAAAAGCTCAGCAGGTCTGGCAGCATCTGTGAAGGAAAAAAACAGAGTAAACGTTTCGGGTCCAGTGACCCCTCCTCAGAACTGGTTAGTTGAGTGGGATTTGGTTCAAGTTACGGCACAGGCAGAGGTGTTCTGGATAAGCTCATATTTACAGAAGAGTACGGCCAGACAGGACAGCACTGGAATAGGCCAATCTTGAGGCGGTAAAGGCCAGGATAAGGGATTCAGCAGCAGATGAGTAAAGAGGTGGTTGTCGTTTCAGAAGCCTAACACAGCGGTTTACGTGATGGAGAAAACATTCACCGATGTCCTGAGAACTTGTGCAGTGCCACAGAAGCTGAACAAGTCAACTTCTGTGCTGACAATTCTACAATGACGGAGACAAGAAGGATCTTATAAATACATTTATTGTCTCAACATTGTCAATCAGATCACTGATTTCGACATAACATCTCCATTTATTGCAGTTATAAATAAATATAATTTAAGAGTTTCTGATTGTCGAAATCAGCACAGCAGCTCTTGTATCCAATGCGTTACTACTGGGCTCACCTTCAACTCGCTTCCCCTCCTTCTTGTTGGTCCCTGCAGTCGTTCAGACATAACCAGCTCAAAATGAGCAACGTTTTCTCTCTGAGTTGCCTAACAATTCAGACAGAAAGCTGCGCTATTTCATTTCACTCAGCTGAATGACTGCAGCTCTTCTGTTTAAGAGACTGTTTTGCTGAAACGCAAAGGGGGAGTTTCCTGGCTTTCCTCAGGCAGGGTCATGCAATTTTCAACCGGCAATCAAATCAGCTTTGTCTGTGTTATGCCAGTGCCCAAGAAAGACCGGCGAATATCTCTGGAAGGTATTTGCGACCAGACCCTTTCCTCACCCAACACCCACCGTGTGCCTACTGCCCTTTCTTGGTTTGGTTTACAAAGACTGCACTTGACCCCACGGTGTTCCCCTGCAACCGGTCGCCCAGCCCAATCCCTGCCCACTTCCCCTGCCCCACCCAGTGCCCAGGTCACCAGCTTTCAGACAACACCTGACATCTGAGGGAGCCCAGCTTCCCCCTTCCACCCGTGGTGCTGCATCCTCCGGTGGATCCGCCTCAGTCGCAGCAGGTAGAGAAGGATGGACAGAAGGACAACCAGGAAACAGCCAAAAAATAAGTAGTGGTTGTTGACGAAGGAGAAGCCCCTCCAGTGCACGTGGTTCCCTTTGAAGTTGTCCAGTGGAATGTCCCTGTTGGCATGAAGGCAAATACTGTGAGAGAATGCCAGCCAATGCAACAACATCGAACCGGTGACCAGACAGGGCTCCCAGTTTGCGGGCTCTTGTTTGGAACGTGTTGAGCAGCATGTCCTCAATTAAGTGGGGCCAGAGACCTGCTGCGTTGCCAATTTCAAAGCTGGTTGTGCCCCTGCACCGACAGAAAGGATTTGCTCTACTGCAACTTTTCCTATCTTAGGATATTCCCAAAGTGCTGCGCAGCCAATGAGGTACCTCTGTAGGGCAGTCACTATGGCAACGCAGGAAACCTTTTGGTCCATTTCCCTGCACAACAAGGGCCCACAAACAGTGAGGCGGTCACACTCAGATAATGTTCCTGTGTCTTGAAGTGATGCTGCTCATGGAACAGGATCCTGGACAGTGAGAGAGAACTCCCCGCTCTTGTTCGGTTAATGCCACGACAACCCAATGGGGGAAGACAGGACCTGTTTGGTTTCATGTCTCAGCCCAAATATGGCTCAAAGATGACCCCTCACAGTCCTCAGCACTGAATGCATCAACTGGGATTTCACACTCAAACCCTGGAGACTGGGTCTTGAACCTTTTGACTCTGAGGCGCATGGTCTACCCACTGGGCCATGGCTGACTGTCAGCCAAACAGACCAGGAGAAAAACAATGCCTTCCCTCTAGGTCTGCCATTTGGGAAAAGGCTGTGGTGCATCCTAGGAGCTGGAGAGGTGCAGGAGGGACTGGCTTTAAATCTTAATTCCAGGGGTATTAAGTGCATGGAATCAACTCTCATCTTTTAACTTCCTTTGTGCAGGAGCAGATAGGGTGAACAATGACACAGGAGGGTCAGTCTGCCGACAGAATGGAAGTGTGAGGGGGGTGATGTGCCTTCGTATTATATCCACTGCTTTGATACAAACACAGCAATTACAGGGAGGATGTTGATGGGTGAATTGGCAATCAGTCTCACCTCAGGGGTAAGTACCGCGTCCTGTAGAGAATCGCCCCCAGCGTCCACTGTACCTCCTTGTCATAAACCAGCTGGGCTGTTTTCAAGTTAGTGTAGTTGACAGGGAAGGAAAACCCACTGTGCAGAACCTCATACATCCAGGCTGACTTAAAACACTGATACCTAGAGTAAAGAACAGCATTTTCACACAGGGGAATAGGACAGAGCCATCACCTTGGAACAAGAGCCAGGCTGCTGAGGAGTGAGATCAGGAAGCAAGACCTCATACAAAAGCAAGTGGAAACCTGCAACTCTGAATCCCTTCAATCAAGAGCCTCATGATGGGGAGATACTCAAACTTTGAAGACTGAGAATAGTCTATGTGAATTCAGGACAAGGGAAAAAGGACAAAAGGTGGAAAATGGAGCTGATGTTGTGATGAAGCTTCATGATGCATTAGTCATTAAAAACTTGGATAACGAAGGAGAAGTATGTGGGACTTTGGTTTTCAGCTCTGTGAAGGTCTGACCTGCTTTTTTTTTTAAGAAAGCCAAGGATGACACGGTGGCTCAGTGGTTAGCACTGCTGCCTCACAGCACCAGGGACCCAGGTTCGATTCCATCCTCGGGCGACTGTCTGTGTGGAGTTTGCACATTCTCCCTGTGTCTGTGTGGGTTTCCTCCGGGTGCTCCAGTTTCAACCCACAGTCCAAAGATGTGCAGGTTAGGGTGGATTGGCCATACTAAGTTGTCCTGAGTGTGCAGGATAGGTGGATTAGCCAGGGGATATGCAGGGTTACAGGGATAGGGTAGGGGAGTGTGTCTGGTTGGGATGCACTTTGGAGGCTCGGTACAGACTCGACGGGCCAAATCACCTGCTTCTACACGTTAGGGATTCTATGATTCCAAATGTCATAAAGCCATTTGAGATGGTGAACTAAAGACAAAAGATTGCGAACGGCAGATAAGTGACACAAAAGTTACCTTCTGAAACAACCGCTACTTCTCAATGACCTGAGTTTTGGTGGCTACAGAAAGACGATGGCTAGGGGCTACAAGCAGGCTCAGTTCAGAAGCCAAGAACCTCACCGGTAGAAGGGCTGTGTAGTTTTTAGCAAGACAATTAGACAAGGCTGGAAAAGCCCTTAGCTTTTCTGAGGGTTCAGTCAGAGCTTGGTCAGTGTGTTAGCCGGGGTGTTTCAGGAACAGAGAGAGAGAATCACATCTGGTCAATATGCAGAAAGTCATGGAGAGGAAATGTTTGCAATCTCATCAGGTGAAGTGAAGATAGGAGTGATCCTTCATTGAGTTGAGACTCGGTCAAGAATCTTGCTGGGAAAAGGGTTGAATCTTTTTGATGTTCATGCTAAGATCTTTCCAATGTGATCAACTTGTGTTATATCGTTAACAGTTACTGGACAGCCTTGACTAACCAGTAAGGTAACCAAGTTGCAAAAATAAAACTTACGGTCTATCAAGCTGGGTTTTACACAGAAATCTGCCTCATTGAGAATGATCATAGCTGGGATCATGACAAGGTCAAGAACAACCAGGGTTGAACTGACTGGTGGAAGAGGCTGACAGCCTCAAGATCCATTCCACTGTTCTGAATGGGCACGAGACAAGTCTTGATCTGGAACTCGTTCCTTATGTCTACTGATAAACAGACAGCGGCAGCAGGGGGATTGGTGGTAACTTGGTTCACTTATGTCCTTTAGGGAAGGAAATCTACCATCCTAACCTGGTCTGGCCTACATGTGACTCCAGACCCACAGCAATGTGGTTCACTCCAAACTGCCCTCTGTGCAATTAATGCTAGCCTAGCCAGCCACACCATCATCCCACGAGTGAATAAAGGGAAAAAACTGGCAAGTAAATTAGGTATGCGAGTGTTAGGTAATCACCAACACAAACAAACCAATGCCTCCCACTGATATTCAATACCATTACTATCTTTGAATTGCCCAATATCAACAACCAGAGTAACCATACAACTTTCAACATTCCTTCCCTCCACAACCAGCTACAAATGGTGTGTTTCATCTACAAGAAGCACTCACCAAAGATCCTTTAACTAGCCATGACCTTGACCCTTCTTTCTCTCCATCAAGTTTTTCATTAACCTCCACTTAGCAAAGCTTCAGCCTGTGCAAACCGTTTCTCTGTTTCAACCCTTCACACCTATTCCAAGTACATTCTTAGTCTTCTCTATTTTACACAGAACATTTTGAGTGATGCCACACTGTCCATACAGTGGCGAGGTTTGTGGATTTCAGGGAACTGTATCGTTGCAATGGCAAAGTCTAGGACTTGATTGATAAAAATATTTGCTTATCAGCACAAAATTCACATCTGGGAGAAAGACAGGACTGCAGATGTATAGAGACACCATCACCTGTAAAGATCCCTCCAAGTCACTCACCATCACTACTTGGAATGATAGCACCATTTCTTGAGTGTTACTGGGTCAAAATCCTGCAACTGCACCACATGGTCTGCAGAGGCAGCTCGCTATCACCTTCTGAACAGTGACCGTCAACCAGTGTCAGACTTGGCACAGATGTCTCGTGAATAATTTAACCAATGGAACTGGCACAGGAATGGTCAGAATGAAACTGGTTCCTTTTCTCCGTGTACTTGGTACAGAGATTGTTGGACAGCAAGATGAAACTGAAACCCTGGATCAGCACTTCCTAACTCAGAGATGATCAAATCAATTAAATCTTGATCCTCTGACTGAAGAATAATGTGAAGAACAGATTTGATGACCGACCATTCTGCCCTCCTGTCTCAATCTACCATGAGACAGGTTGCTCACCAGTCTCATCTCGCTGCCTTTTGTATTTGCAAACTGCAGCTTTAATCTCATCTGAAAGAAGAGTCCTCACTTTGACCTTGCTTTGTCCTGTATCAATGTGCTACAGTAAATAAGGATGCTGGGTTCCTATCAGAATCGTTAAGGTACGTTCCTTGCACACCTCTTATCTGCAGTGCTCAAGCAACAGAGAGGTAATCAAGACACCGAAAACATGAGCTGAGAGGTTCTCAGACAGTTCCAGCAGTCTGACGACAGACTCCGCTTTGATTCACATGGGGAAGGGTTGACTGGGAGGTACCTGCGCCAATGGATCGCTGTATCAACATGGTTTTCTGCACAAGGGAGATGGTCTGTGAGCAGTCATGAAAAGCCACCCTGGATGAGTTTTGTCATTCAGCCACTTCAGTATGATACTGGATATACACTTACTTGAGTCTGTGGAGGTCCGCATGCCTGGAGTATAAACCTTGCTCAAAGCGTTCCTTCAGGACTGTCCACTTGGTTGCACAATAATCCTGCAGGATTAATTGAATCTTAAATAGTGCAGCACAGTACAGGCCATTCAGTCTATCTAGTCTGTGCAGGTCCTCTCAAGAGCAATCCATTTCGTTTCACTGTACTGTCCTATATCAGTGTCACTGATTCTTTATCTCCATCAAGTTTGTAATCACCTCGTGTTCCCTCCATTTATCAAATCTTCAGGCACTGGCAATTCGTTTCCCCGTCTAAACTTTTCACACCTGCACCAAATGCCTCCTCGGCCTTCTCTATTTTACTGAAAACATCCTGAGCTTCTTGTGCTGTTTGCACATTTGCAAGGTTTGCGAATTTCAGTGAACTATTACAACAATGGCAAAGTCTAGGACTTGATTGACAAAAAGTATTCACTTGCCAGCAGGAAGCTCACATCTGGGAGTGACACTGAACCCAACAGGCCGACGTACACAACCTCCCAAAATCAGGAGCCAGTCAGTTGAGGAACGTCTGGAACTGAACAGAACTGTAGGGATATTATTTGCTGGCCTGTATTATCCCAACAGCTCCTGATTAGTTTAACTCAGAGCAAGGGCCCAAACCCTGGTCTACAAAGCTCAAGTTATACACTCTTCACTGCGGATGATGGTTAACAGCCTGACGCAGGTTTTGCTGAAACCCACCCACAAGATGACCCGCTCCAGACAGACATGTGATAATTGGGGGAAGAGTTCACGAGGGGCCACAGATTTCGCTCTCTGTTTCAGAGGCACCGCTCCAAATCAAGCATCAATGAAGGCATGGAGACAACCCTCCACGAGCCACGACAGATAGTGTGGGGATCAAACCAGTCGCATTACCCTGCACCACACCCTGGCCGTCTGGCCAATGTCCCCAGCAATGTCTGACTGAGCACTAAACCACACACGTCACATTTGTAAAATAAGATACAGCTCAGTACCTTAGCAGCCTTCGTGAATTTAGCAACATCATAGTCGCCACCCATGCGCAAGACATCTTCTGTGCAGTAATAGAATTCAGAAAACCCGTAAAATTCACTGTTCGGATAGTCGACTGGAGGCTGGTAGACCCCACTGAGCGATGTCGAAGTCTCATTGGTTTTGTTTAAGAAGGGACGAATGATTTGCCGACACCAATCAAAATCTCCCAGTCCTCGTAAATACAGAGTGCGTCCGTCTTGATGAATTTCATCCTTGATGTCAGCTGGCAAACAGGGGTCCAGGTACGGGACTTCCTCTGTTAGGCCAGTCTTCTGTCCCAGTAACCTGCAGGAGAGACAGGACACATGACTTTCTGAACCCCCTCGCTTCTGCATCTTTACCCTCAGCTCTACCGAAGCTGCCAGCTCTTCCTGAAGGCTCGTTTCATGGATACCCACATGCCCAGTGATTAGTTTGCAATCCTCACCAGTCATACCAAATGGACCAGTGAGATAATCGCCCCTCTTTCTCCCCTTCCCAGACTTTACTTCAGAAAGGAGAACAGCAAAGTCAGAGGCAAATGACAAGGTGGCCCCCTCCTGCTAAATGAATGAGTAGACAACTGCATGGCAGATGAAGTCTAATGTGGATAAATGTGAAGTTAGCCACTTTAACAGCAAGAACAGCAAGATGGATTATTATCTGAATGGCAGTGGATTGGGAAAGGGGAGGTGCGAGGAGACATGGGTGTTCCTTGTATACCAGTCACTACAAGTAAGCATGCAGCAGACAATACAACAAAATAAAAGCTGGCTAAACTCAGCAGCTCTGGCAGCATTTTTAGGAAGAAAGCAGAGTTAATGTTTCGAGTCCAGTGCTCTTCATCAAATGGTATATTGGCCTTCGTAGGGAGAGGATTCGAGTCTTAGTACAGTTGTCCAGGGCGTTGGTGAGACCACAGTTGGAGGACTGTGTGCAGTTTTGGTCTCCTTCCCTGTGAAAGGACATTCTGCTATGGAGGGACTGCAACAAAAATTTACCAGACTGATTCCTGGAATGGCAGGACTGACTTATGAAGACAGACCGGATCCGTCTGGAAAAGATTCACTGGAGTTTGGATGAGACCTATAAAATTCTCACAGCACTAGACACGATAAGCACAGGAAGGATATTCCTGATGTGTGGGGAGTCCAGAAACAGGGACCACAATCTAAGAATACATCGGGTCGGCCATTCAGGATTGAGATAAGGAGAAATGTCTTCACCCACAAAGTGGTGAGCCTGGGGAATTCTCGACCACAGAAAGTGATTGCGGCTCAAACACCGAATATTTTCAAGGAGGTGTTTGATATTATTCTTATGGCTAAAGGGATCAAAAGGCATTGGGAGGAAGTGGGAACAAGGTACGGAGCTGGATGATCAGCCATGATCATATTTAATGGCAGAGCAGGTTCAAAAGGCTGAATGATCAACTCCAGCTCCTGTGTACCACGTCCATAAGCAATGCCATGAATACTAGAGCTCCAGCCTCACAACCCAAACTCAAGACCTAATGCAAAGATTCCATCTCAGGAGTCGACACCACAAATTCGCAAACAAACAGGCACAGGAGTGGCAGCACAAAAACAGGCTATTTGGCCCAACAGTTCGATACCCTGATCATAAGAAAGATACTATACAAATCCAAATTTGTTCTCTCTTTACAGGATGAGATAGGGTCAGGTGGGAGGAGGCTTGGTGGGAGAATCGAGCACAGCTCTGTTGAGGCGAGTTGCCTATTTCCGTGCTGGGAAATGGTCGGCGATTCTCAGTCGTTTGAAATAAGTCAAATCTTGTCCCTGTGTGTAACCCTCAGTGAACAGCCCAAGTACCTGTTGGTCAGCGTGATCTTGTGGATGATGTGTTCCTCATAGCGCTTTCTGGCAGCATTCCCACCGAAACCCAGGAAGGTGGTGACATAGACACGATAGACGTGCTCCGTGTGATGGGCATCACAGCCCAGATTGAACTCTGCCAGCAGGTTCTTGGCCACCTCTTCCTGTACAAAAGCAACCGAGGCAGTTGATAAAGCTTCCAAGGTAATCTGTCCATTTTGTGCGGTGTTCAGCACAGGTATAGCACAAACATAACATTCAATTAGCAAACAATAGGTGACAGGTTTTTAAGGAGGAATTCAGCCAAGCAGCCCTTTCCAAAAGCAGAAGGAATTGTGCAACAAATGAAATGTTCAAGCTGGAGTTAAAACAGACGCCAATTTGATCAATGGGTGAAAAACGAGACAAATTTCACTTGAGCGAGATCTTGTAACAACAGAATAACTTTTTCTTCCTGCAGCCCCTGACGCAAATGTCCTGCATGTGTAACCTGCTGGGAGTGTGCATCAATACTGGTGTGATGGGCCCTACAGTTTGCTGCTGTCAGCAACAACATTAAAGATTAAGAAAGAAACAAAGACTCAAAGGAGGAGGAAATAGGGCACCAAATCTGGGGTCTGGTATGGAAAAAGATTGAAAGATTGGACCAAGTGGGAGACAATGAAAGTAGAATTTTACATCCAAGAAGGATGTGCCAGCAGCACGAGCGAGATGGAACAGTTTTAACTTGCTGCTTCTGCACTCAGAATAGTTGCACGAGCAATCATCTTGTCATTAAAAGGTACTTGCACTGTTGATCACGAACCGTAACGTTCAGAGATGGGCTTACAGGGCAATTAATGCACAGACCCAGCAAGGTACCAAAACTGGCAGGAAGGTTCAGGATGAGATTCCATTATATAAGGAAAAGGGATTAATTAATGAGCTTAATTATAGAGTCATAAAGCACAGGAACAGGCCCTTTGGTCCAAACAGTCCATGCTGACCGTAATCCAAACTAAACTAGTCCCAACTGCCTGCTCCTGGCCCACATCCTCCCAAACATTTCTTATTCATATACTGATCTAAATGTCATAACTGTACCCGCATCCATATTGACCTTATCTATACCCATCGTGATTTTATAAATCTCAACAAGGTCAGCCCTCAACTTCCTATGTTCCAGTGAAAAAAGTCCCAGCCTATCCAGTCTCTCCTTACAACTCAATACCTCCATTCCTGGCATCCTGGTAAATATCTTCTGAACTCTCTCCAGCTTAATAATATCGTCCTGTAACAGGGCGACCAGAACAGGATGCAGTACTCAATAAGAGGCCTCTCTGACACTCTGTACAACCTCAACATAACGCCCCAACTCCTACACTCAAAGGTCTGAGCAATGAAGGTAAGCATGTTAAATACCTTCTTAACCACCCTGTCGATACATGATGCAAACTTCAAAGAATTCCCAAGGTTTGCAGCTCATGGTGCTATGTTTTTGTCCCCTTATGCAGCCAGTTTTGGCGTTAATAAGTGTGGGTGCTTTGAACTCACTGAGTTTTCGAAGGAGATTTCACACATCAGGTCCACAGCATTTTGGGCAGCGGGCTTTGCTAGGTTTCAAAACAAAGCTTCCAAAACAGATTTGCTTGTTTGCAAGTTTGCTTCTAAGAAAGCCACCAGCCTCTCTTAAGCATCAATGAAGTATTTTTCCATCCAGTTGTGAATTTGCTGAGAGTAACCAGGTCTTAAGGGTCATCTAATGAGGACAGATGGCACAAACTGGGCTCACATTTCTCATAATATACATGATCTTAGTCTACCCTATCAACTCCTTTTGGATCAATAAGAGAATCTGTTTCAACGAATGGATGGGTTACAATTGGGAAAAAGGAATCTAACATTCGTAGCAGAGTCAAGCAATTTAGAAGAGGAGACGTTAAATAACATTCCTGATGCTAAGCTTGGAACTCTACTTCAGAAAGAGCAGATGCCAGCTCAATGAATCAGCTTCCTCCCTCATGTATTGCTCATGGAATCATTCTCCCTGAGCGAGTTGAGACAAGAAATGTTTCAGGATCATCAGCTATGCAAGGGATGACTGCATCACTGGTAAACATAGCTTTTACATGCACACTTTCAGCACAAGTGCTGGCTCATGCCTCACTCTGGCTCCCTGATCTAAGCCCACTGCACTGCCCCACTTTAAGCAGCAGAATGGTAACTCAAAGTCTCTCATTCACACTCAGTGAGCCGAAGCACTCTAAGCTTGGATGGCTCCATGGGGCGCTGCAATGTTCAACTTTGGCTCTCTCTGTGGCTTCACACTTGATAACCCCTCGTGTTCGGCCTCTGTCTTCCAACCTCCCTCCCCCCCGCTAAAAAACACACACACATATTCACATGTGCGTACACAAACACAGAAACACAGGCTCCTGTTAATTTTTCAGTTCCACTCTCCTCCTGCTTCCTCTGAGCTGCAGCCAGCTCCCTCCCTGGCAGTTCATTGTAGAATCAGATGGAAAGGACTTATCACCAGAAATTCATTCATCATTTATATTTTCTCAAAGAAGGCTTTCTGCTACTTAGTGCATTGAAAACAAATGAGTTACCACAAAGGGACATTGCGAGAGACACATAAGTTAAATAATGGACAGCAAAGCAGACTCAGTTGAAGAATGAGAAATCAGGCAACAAAAGACAACAAGGATTGATTGCGTGTCAGTTTCCAGAGAGCAGGAAATTCTGGCATGAAATCAGAGGCTCAGGAACATTCATGCAAGGGGCCCAACTACCAGGCTAAATGTTAGAGAATATGGATTACCAAGGAGAAAGCACAAAATCAAGGGCAAACCAAAAAAAAGAAGAGGAAGGACAGATAATAACCTGCTGTGAAGAGGCAAAGCTTACAGTTTTGGGGACTTCATAGGCTATCTGAGTAGAAACCCCTCCCATGTCCAGGACACCAGTTGTCCTCTTCCGGACAACTGCTGCCTGGGCCTCCGTGCCAGGAACCTTGACCTCCACAACCGAATCCTCACCTGTGTGAATTCATCAAAGGAAAACCGGTTAGTTTTGCTGTTTAAGCCTTGCTACAATTTTTGCATCCACTGCCCAAGTGAAAAGTCAAAGGCTGGATTATAGCCAGATCTCCAGTTGCGAAGGATCTTCTGCTAATTTCAAGCGCAGGTTTCTTGCGACCAGCACGGTGACACCAAGACAAGAGGAGCACAGTGCACTGCCTCTCTTGGCTCAACCACAAGGTGGTGAATTCAAGTCCTGCTGCACAGACTCGACTCCAGGATCGTGGCCGACACTCCGAGCACAGTACTCAAGGGGGTGCTGCACTGTCAGAGGAGCCATCTATCACCAAGATCTTAAACAGAGATCATGTCAATTCTCTCAGGCTGAAGTAAAAGACCCTGCGGCATCATTTCAAAGAGGAACAAGGGAGAAATTCTCTTTGCCCTGGCCATTATTTATCCTTCAAACAAGATGCAAAAAAATGCACCATGCCGGTGCTGGATGTATAAATTGACACATATACTGATGTGTCAAACCTGCTCAGCAATGGGTCCAGCCCTATTCTGTGATAACTTCATCCACACTGGAGGATAAGTCACTGTTTTCTATCATTCAAAAGGTCAGTGAAGGATTAAATTATTAATTATGACATTATAGCCACAAGAGTAATGCTTCACATTCATGTGAAACACACCACAGTTATTAAGGTGCTAAACATACCAGGTAGAACCTGCTCTTTTACAATGCACAGATACAAAGTTTTACCGTCACTGATGTGGTCAAATCGTCCCAGGACAAAGTTAATTCCAATCCAAGCATAAACTCCTGAAATCATTGAAATAAAAGAAATCTAGGATTACTACTTCAGGTTCACAACATATTTAACTGCAATTATGAAAGAAAAAAAATTTAATTTTGCAAACAGTTAGCATCAGTTATTTTGGGATTGTGTCTTTTGTGAAATCAGTATGGAGCCAGTGCTGTTCACCGCAGGATAGAGTTGTCTAAAGGAGTTAAGAATGTATGTTTCCACATGTTATTTTTCAAAAATAACATGTGGAAAATAAAATAAGTTGCCTCTGTAGGACAAGAGCTAAAGGCAGAAGATCATCCAGCCCCTCGAGCCTGCTCTGCCATTTAATACAATCGCAGGCTCGACTCCACCTTACTTCCTGCTCCCCACAACCCTTTCACCCATTATTAATAAAAATCCGTCCATGCCCTCCTGAAATCTATTCAGTGAACATTCTTTGATGGGCTTTCACGTGTATTTAAAACTCTGTCGGTCACTTTGAGCATTAACTGATATGTGTCAAAAACTTTAGAATATCATTTTTCCAAACTTCAAAATTGAGCTTATGACTACATCACGGTATAATGAGCAGGCAGTTCTGCACATTTTGTTTTTAAAACTCATTTTGCCCCTTTTGTGCAACCAATCCAAGTATTCTGTATTCTTCCATGGGATGTGTGTGCCACTTTCAAGGATAGCATTTATTTCCCATTCCCAATTGCCCTTGAACTGACTTGCACACAAGGCTATTTCAGAGGGCAGTTAAGAGTCAACCACATTGCTGTGGCTCTCGAGTCACATGCAGACCTGATGAGAAAAATGGTGGCAAATTCCCTTCCCAAAAGGTCATGAGTCAATCAGGTGGGCTTTTACAATAAGCAACAGTGGCCAACATTCAAATTTCACCACCTACTGTGGTGGGATTCAAACACATATCCCACAATTTTAGCCCAGGGCATTGGGATTACCAGTGCACTGGCTACTCAGCACTGACCATTACACTTATACCTGCCCAACGCGCGCACTGCCAAATGATTACTCCCTGTGTTATGGATCAGGCCAAGCACCCTCAAAATACAGAAGAAGACAACTTAAAATAAGAAAAAGTTGGGGTCTGGCCTAAGTGTAAGGCATTGTGTTCCAAATGCAATTCAATTGGTCAAACTATGCAACTTTAAGCAAAACACACTTTATTCCTCCACTACAGTTAAAACACAGACAAAATAAAAAGAAAACAATTGGCTTCACTGTAATTCTACCAAACTAAATAACAGATGTATTAACTACTGCCAGTTAATTGTTCCAATATGCTAACATTTCATAAACATACCCTTGGCAAAGATAAATTCAGTAAAATAGATTGTCTCACATGCAATTCTAGCATCAGGAAGAGAATCCCAGCTCTTAGCTGGAACAGAAAGAGGAATAACAGCTTCCACATTGAGCTTCAAGACCCCAGCAACTGCAGAAAGCTAAAACTAAACATCCTGGTTCTGTGGGAGCTTGTCACCATCCATTCAGGCTGCTTCTGTTGCTCCAACTTAAAAAATACCCAAGGCTTCACAAGCTTTGGCTTTGAACAGACTGTTTAGCACCTCTGTCTCAACCTTTCTTCATGAAAAAAAAGCAGGGCAAAATGCACCTCTTAAAGCCATTGTATCGTCACACAGGTAAATCAAGCAATCTTCATCAAAGCAAAATGTTAGTCTGAAATAAAAATGACACTCTAAAATGGTGTTTGTGTTATGAATGGCAGATTTCACATTTGGTGATGGGCAAATTAGTTTGAACAGAAAGTTAAGATAACAAAAAGCTTGTCAAAACAGGCTCAATTTCCAATTGTCCCAAAGCAGAAGCTCCAATCCAAGGCCTCCATCTGGGCTAACCCCAGAAATCAAGTCTCAGACCGTGTGGGTGTGCGAGTTACAAACATTCGACTTGTCTTGGTGCAGCGGCACAATACTGAAAGAGGCACTGGAGCCTCAACTTATTTTATCCCTCCACATTCTGTGCCAGACAGATTCTGACAACACAGTGGCAACAATGACCTGGTTCTATGTTAAATACTAGAATGCTAATGGACTGAGTAATTCTCCAATACCTGGAGAGCACAATGCTTTAAAATCTGTGATAACACAGTGTGGAGCTGGATGAACAACTGTGACTGACTACATGTAGACGTTACTGAACCACCCTACACTTGGGGAATTTTACAAGTGGAGCAATCCTAGTTCTACCAGAAGACTTTGCTGTAGTTTTGGTCAAAAAGTCTGTTTGCTGTCATTTGTCCAACTCGATTTAAACAGGCTCTACTTGCTGAGTAAATGGACTATTTGCTCTGAGCATTGTCTAACGTACTACCTGACACCCACATGTCAATACACATCCAGCGAGAACAATACACAATGTTAAACAATACGAAACAGGGCTGAATGCCATTGCTGCAGACTCCCCAGTTAATATTTAACCAAATGTTCAGCCCATTTGCTCACCAGTTCAACAATTCACTTCAAATCTTAAACTGCTCAAGAAATCTCCCCTACAAGTACTTTCATTGCAGAATACATACCTTCTTGCTTGCCTGAGATGACTTCTGCGTGCGAGTCAGCGAAGAGAAAATCGAAATTCAGTGGAATATCTGTACGGAGATCTTCAAGAATGGCATTTTGCTGGCTGAAAGAGCAAAGTTAACTTGCCGTCAACACTCTTAAAGATGTTATTCAGCCTGTGTGCAGAAAACAAGCAGACATTTCTGATGAAGGGTCTAGGCCCGAAACGTCAGCCTTCCTGCTCCTATGATGCTGCCTGGCCTGCTGTGTTCATCCAGCTCTGCACCTTGTTGTCTAGAATATGCTCCCTTCTCCCCCTTCTTGATCTGACTCAGGTGAGAGAATGTTTCGATGGGTCTCTGTTGAATATGTGTCTGTGATTAACTTGTACATGGCAATGGTCTCCTGACAGTCTCTTTGACTGTAATGGCACGACAAGTGAGCCTAGTTTGCTGCCTAACAGACTTCTGAAGGGGAAAATATCCAACAGGCACTGTTACATCATAACCGAAAGTGGATTTTTTCCCCACCAACCAACAGGGATAATGAAGACCCAGCATACTGTCTCCAACATTGCCCAAACTGAGATCAACCAACTCAGTGCACACCCGACACTGTGGAAAACTGTCCAAGTATGGCCTGTCAATAAAAGACAGGACAAGTTTCTCCCAGCGAGTTACTGCCCTATCAGTCTGGTCTCTATTACAAGCAAGTGCTGGAAGGGATCATTGACGGTGCTGTCAAGAGGCACTTGCAAAGCAATGACCTGCTCACTGATGCAAAGTCTTTTCTACACGAGGGCCACCCAGCTCCTGACCTCATTACAGCCTTGGTTCAAGCATGGACAAAAGAGCTGAACTCCACAGGTGAGGCGAGAGTGACTGCTCTTGAGGGCAATGCAGTGTTTGACTGTGGCATTCAGGTACCTGAGCAAAACTGGAGTCAATGGGTATTGGAAACAAACTCTCTACTGATTGGAATTACAACGAGCTCAAAGGAAAATGGTCTTGGCTGCTGGAGTTCAATCACCTCAGTTCCAAGGCATCTCTGCAGGACTTCTTCAGGGGAGTACCCTTGGCCCAACCACCTTCAGCAACTTCATTTACAACTACTCAGATACTGAAGCAGTGTATATCTAAACGCAGCAAGACCTGAATAATATCCTGGCATGGGACACGTAAGAGGTATGCAACATTTGCATCACGCAAGTGCCAGGCAATGTCCATGTCCAACAAAGGAGAATCTAAACATCTTCCCTTGACATTCAATGGCATTACCATCACTGAATCCCTCGTGATCAACATGCTGGGGAGGTACCATTGACAAGGAACTGAATTGGACCAGCAATATGAATACAGTGGCTGCAAGACCAGGTCAGAGGGTTGGCACACTGCAACAAGTAATTCACCTCCTGTCTGTCCAATACCTGTCTACCATTTACAAGGCACAAGTCAGGAGTGTGATGAATATTTTCCATTTACCTGGATGGGTGCAGTCCAACAACACTCAAGAAGGTTACTCAATACAGGATTTAAGGTCAAGGACAGGAAGAATTTTTTTACCCAGGCAGTGTCCTGGAACTCACTGCCACTGGAATAGTAGGGTGGTACAACCGGGAACCATCGCTATTTAACCACTACTTTTTAAATAATCATTTGAAGGACCATAGTATGGAAGGCTGGGGGTCAAGTGCTGGATGAAAGGACCAGAGTAGACTGGTGCTCGATGACTGACATGGACATAAAGGCTGTACAGCCTTTTTATGCTGTATAAACTCCATATCTCTTCAACACATTCGCCCACACGATTAGCACCCCATCACCATCTCAAGCATTCTTCCCTCGATCACTGACACATGGTAGCACCAGTATGTGCCATCAACAAGATACAAACCACCAAGCTTGCTCAGACTGCACCTTCTAAACTCATAGGCTCTCCCATCTAGAAGGTCAAGGGCAGCAGATACCTGGGAAACACCATCACCTGCAAGTTCCTCCCAACCCACACATCACCCTGACTTTGAAGAATATTGCTGTTCCTTCAGTGTCGCTCGGTCAAAATCCTGGAATTCCCTCCCATCAGCACCGTGTCCATACTCAGACAATGTTTGAAATGGTTAAAGAAAGCCGCTCACATCCATTCCTCAAAAGCAACAAGGAATGGGTAATAAATGCTGCCCCAATGAGTGACATTTACTTTCCATGAACAAAGCAAAACATTAATTCTGCTCTATCTGCTACACATCCTGCTCGAGTATCAAACAAGTGAAGCAAAGGGAATAGGCCAAAATCCCTGGGTATAGGGGAGGCCAAGAGGCTCTTAGTGGGTGAGAGACCGAGTATCGTTTTATGAAATGAAGTATAACCATTACTTTTCAGGCAAAATCCTCATCCCAGCCGTGCACAGGATATATAGTGGAGTCTCTTGGTGCTTCGAGTGAGGAATGTGATCTGCAGCAAAATTCAGAAGAGGTGCCAGGTAATCACTGGATTTCTCCGGTGTGGCTGCCAGCTCTGAAATTCCTGTGGAAAAGAACACAAAAAGAACAAATGAAGCAAAACTATTTCTTCCAAAGAAATAAATTGAGCACAGCATGAGTGTTGTCCTGAGACCACTCATCGTAAGTGCTGCTCTAACTCTTGCTCCCCTAACTCCAGTTCAATGGTTGTCCCATTACCAATTTGCCATAGTGGACCTGGACTGTTGTGAAAAGATGTGACCACATCCAGGCGCACTTGAGAATACATTATCCATATGGAAAGATGAATTACTGCTGTTGCGTCAGAATACAATTTTCAACAGGCTGAGATCTTGCAACCAGGAGAAATGATCTAACACCGAGTGGTCAGAAATATGATTTTAACTCCTCCATGTACTGTGCTGTATCCACCCATGACATTTCAATGCTCAGGAAAACATGAGTGCAGTGGTTTGCAAAACTGCAAAACCAACCAGGTTTCAAGGGGAAAAAAATCAGAATTAACGTTTTGGTCCAGCCACCTTTCCTCAGAACTGATGGTAGCCAGGAAAAAAAAGTTGTTTTTTTTTGTCCAAAGACTGGGAGGGAGTAAATGATAGGTGATATAGAGCCCAAAGAGAGAGAACAGTTGGACAAAGGAATGGATAACAATCAGCCTGCGAGAATGAATAACTGCTAATGGGGGATGTTAGTAGCTAACTATGGGTTGTGTGTAATAGCAGACCATGTGATAACAAGCCAGGTGTGTGGGTTCATAGAAGTTCATGGAACCCCTACAGTGTGGAAACAGGCCATTCAGCCCAACAAGTCCACACTGACCCTCACAGCATCCCACCCAGACTCATCCCCCTATAACCCATCTAATCCACTCATCCCTGAACACTACAGGCAATTTAACATGGCCAATCCACCTAGCCTGCACATCTTTGGACTGTGGGAGGAACCCAGAGGAAATCCACGCAGACACAGGGAGTGGGGTTTGGCGTAAGGATATGGGAGAGCTCTAAAATTGTTGAACTCGATACTGAGTCCAGCTGGCTATAGAGTTCCCAAGCAGAAAATGAGGTGTTGTTCTTCCAGCTTGTGCTGAGCTTCACTGGACCACTGCAGCAAGCCTAAGGCAGAGATGTTGGCCAGGGAACAGGGTGTTGAAGTGGCAGGCAACTGGAAGCTCAGGGTCTTTTCTGTTGACAGAACATAGGCGTTCTACAAAGTGGTCACCAAGTCTACGCTTGGTTTCCCCAATGTAGAGGAGACCACATTGTGATTGATCTGCTTGAGCTTTTTCAGCAATTTGTGTTTCTGATTTCCAGCATTTGCAATTCTTTCGGGTTTCTTTTTCATCCAAGTTTCTTGTTATTCAGACCTCACAGCCCATTTTCGGCCATGCTCTTCGGAATACTAGAAAGCACAGTTTTCTTTGCAGACAGCAGAACTTTTATCACATACTGATAGTGACTTTGAAACACAGCCAAGCATACACGCCATTCAGTCTGTTGGTGCGACTACTCCGCACCAAATCCCTCCCTTCTATTCAGAACATTTCACCCTGCCATTTCTATATCCTTCTATTTGCTTCAACCTCAGGTGTTTATCTAACCTCCTCTTAAAATGGATCTACATTTGATTACTGTTAGTCATTCACTGAAATGGTATTAATTTTCACATTCTAACCAACAGAGGAAAAAATGAGAGTGTAAGAGAAAACTTGCCAGAAATATAAAAAACATTGGAAAGATTCTCTGTACGAAGAACCCTTTGTGTGTTTATATATTTGTGTATATATACACACACATTACCTATTTATACACAGACACAAATTCTGGTCCTTTACAAAGTCAGGCTAGAGAATTAATAATTAAGGAATTGGCAGATATATTGAAGCGGTGTTTTGCATCACTCTCCCGAAACAAGACACAAGTAACATGCCAGATGTAGCAATAATAATTCAACAAACGGGGAGGAACTCTTGAAAGTTACAATCACCAGAGATGTGGTGCTCAGTAAATCAGTGGGGCTGTGAGCTGACAAGTGCCCGAGTCCCGATGGACTTCACCCTAAAGTCTTAGAAGAAGGGGCAAATCAGATAGCGAATGCATTGGTTTTAATTTTCCAATGAAAATCGTGAAGAATCAATCTCGAGAATGAGCATGGGAGCTGTGCACCCATTCTGTGTTGCATTCAGAGCACAGAACCCATTCCAAAGTGGTACTGACTGAACTGATGTGAAGTGAAGCACAGCCAACCTCAGCAGTTCAGGTAAGGCAAAGACAGAGTCCCCCATACTGTCCTTCATCCATATGGCTGGTGTAGGGCTCAACTTGCATGTCTCCCACAGACAAATAATCTTCCGATATTCAATCCTGTCTCGCAATCAATATACTCTGCAGAAACACAACAGAAATCCACACTTGTAATACAAGGGGGTGATCCAAGTGCCATTCAGTTGGACAGTCTCACTGTTAGTTAACATCTAGATGTTCCTGTCTCTCTCTCACCTTTACTACATGCTTACTGAAAGCGAGAAATTAAGAACAGCCATTAATTTGGTGCCACCTTTACCCGTGGCGCAGTTGGACATAATGTAACCACTAAGAGCCTGTTCATCAACAGTCAAGAGTGATTTTCCTTAACTGACACGACAGGAACCCAAGTAAAAAAAAAACTCAATGAAACTTACAGGAGGCTGCCATTCAGCTCATTCTGCCTATGCTATTGCTTTGAACATCTTATACCTTCTGTCCACCTCACTGCACCTTCCTCATCCTGAAGTACGTTTCCAACTTCCTCTTAACAAAAGTGATGGAATCAGCTTCCACTGCCTGTTCAGATGGAGTATTCCCAGATGCTAACAAACCAGATCCCAAAAAATTCTCATCTCCCCTCGAAATCTTTGCCGGTGATTTTAAATTTCTGATATCATACAAATCATCCAAAAAAAAAAAAATTGCTCCTACTTATTCCACCATAATTTGGATCATTTAAAACAGCATACAATATTTTAATTCCATCAAAATCTGGATTAGACACCCAATTTATTTTTCTTCACGGAAAGAAAGGGTACTCAATTTAAACAAGTTCATGACAACATCTGCTCTGAGAGTCATTAACCTGGTTTGATCTTCATCACGACAGGCTGTCTGTTCCTGCCCCTCATCTGTTTGATGTCGAGCAGATCGTGTGGATTCCCATTGTGTCTTGGCCAGCAGTACACAAAGAGCCTCGAGCCACTACTTCCACAGTCTATCACAATGCCGTAGTTTAAATAAGGGTTCTTAATGTCAGTAGCTTCCATGTCCAACAATTTGGTCAAGTGCCTATGAGGACAAGGACAAGGAGGAAGAAGGTTAAACAGTAGCAAGTACTTGCATTTGCCCACACCATAGGTCACTCCTTCAAGGTGCTTTGCTGTTGTATTTCAAGTCAAAACTTGGACAGTAAGCCATGGGAAAGGATATTAGGACCGGTGACAAAATGCCTAGTGCTGTGGTTGGTTTGCTCGTCGAGCTGGTTCATTACTTTGCAGACATTTCATTATCCTGCTGGGTAACATCTTCAGTGCAGCCTCCAACGAAGCGCTGTTATATTTTTCCGCTTGCTATTTAAACTCTGGGGTCCGTTGGAGTTGATGACCTCATTTCCGGTTTTCTTTCCAGGGGTGCATAAATAGAGTCTAATTCTACGTGTTTATTGATGGCCTTCTTGGTGGAGAACCAGGCCTTGAGGAATTCCCATGCTCGTCTCTGTTTGGCTTGTCCTAGGATCCTGACATTGCCCCAATCGAACTGGTGGTTCTCCTTATCTGTGTGTATGGAGACAAGCGAGTATTGGTCATGTCTTTCTGTTGTTAGTTGGTGTTCATGTATTCTTGTAGCCGGTTTCCTGCCTCTCTGTCCAATATAATGCTTGTAACAGTTCTTGCATGGAAATCTTGTATATTACTTTGGTTCTGTCCATAGTGGGTAAGGGGTCTTTGGTTCTTGTTAGCAGTTGGCGTAGGGTTGACCAATACTCACTCATCTCCATACACACAGATAAGGAGGACCACCAATTCGATTGGGACAACGTCAGGATCCTAGGACAAGCCAAACAGAGACAAGCATGGGATTTCCTGGAGGCCTGGTTCTCCACCAAGAAGGCCATCAATGAACACGTAGAATTAGACCCTATTTACGCACCACTGGAAAGAAAAACCAGAAATGAGGTAATCAACTCCAATGGACCCCAGAGTTTAAATAGCAAGTGGGAAAACACAACAGTGTTTCATCGGAGGCTGCACTGATGATGTTACCAGGCAGGGTAATGAAACGTCTGCAAACTAACGAACCAGCTCGGTGAGTGAACCAACCACAGCATCCACAAGCCGAGCTACAAATCAATCAAAAACCTTACAATGCCTCGTCAAAGACTTGGCATTTAGGAACACGGTAATACCAGAAAGTTGCCACCCGTTTGAAGAACCAGGCACAAGGTGTTTTCCAGGCAGAAACAGAGAGGCAGCTGAAGGAGTTGTCACCAACAGTGGAGCAACTGAAACTGGGGATAGTGAAGAAGCCACATTTGGAGAATTGCAGAGATCTCAGAGGGTGACAGGCTGCGAAAAGATACAGGGATAGTGAAGAGTCTGCAAACTTTGGAGTATTGTGTGCAGTTCTAGTCACTGTGCTACAGGAAGGATGTGGAGACCTTGGAGAGAGCGCAAAGAGATGTACCTGATGTTTCCTGGATTGGAAAGTAATAGCTATCAGGAAAGGTTGGAAAACTTGGATTGTGTTCACTAGAACATCAGAGCTGAGGGGCAAACTAATCCAAGAATATAGAATTATGACAGACATGGAGAGGGTCGATAGTTGGAATCTTTTTCCCAGGATGGACTTGTCAAATTCTAAGGGGCGTAGGTTTAAGGAGAGAGGGGAAAAATTTATAAAGAGATGTGCAAGGAAAGTTTTTTTTTTATACAGAGAGGGTGGTAGGTGCCTGAAACATGCTTCCAGGGGAGGTGGTAGAAGCAGAGACAAGAGCAATGTCTAAGAGGCACTTAGACAAACACATGAACAGCTAGGGAATAGAGGGATATGTACCATGTGCAGGCTGATAGGATTAGTTTAGAAAGGCATCACGGTGGCACAGACATGGTGGGCTGAAGGGCCTGATCCTGTGCTATAGTGCTCCATGTTCTACCTGAGTGGGCACCATTGAAGCACTTGTGACCTGAGGTTAACAAAGACACAGTTAAAAGAGTGTGACATTGTGATTATGTCTCATGAGTACACTATCTGTAAAAGTGAAGTCAGGAGGATTTCTCCTCAAAATCCTAAACTCCAAAGATTAAATTGCCATATCCTTTCCCAAGCCCATACTCGCAGCTGTCACCATTTTGGGTTATTAGAGTTCTCTTAAATTCAGAAACAAGTGTTACAGAGAAGGAGGAGCAATTTTATTTTTACCATCAAGTTGAGAAAAACCCACATTTCGCTGCACAGACCCTGCTGTGTAGTTCAGCAGCTGGCAGGCTAGGCTCAAATCTCAGTTCACACTGCAGCTGTACTTTGTGGTGTACAGTGCTTTGGAATAGCCTGAGGTTGAGTCAGGTGCTACAGAAATGAAAATCTGATTTGCGTTCTAGATTAGATTTGAAGTCTTGGAGATGGACCTGGAAGTGGGAAGCGGAAGAAATGAATACAGGGGAAGGAGTGATGGTGGAACAGGATTTCCAGCATTCAGAGGTTTGTTTTTGAGCTGGACAGTGTTCACCGAGTGCTGAAGATTTCGGAGCAACAACAAGAAAAGCTTACTGAAGCAAGTATAGACGTTCGATACCATGGTAATGCTCACGGATGAAGAGACAGAATCTGCAGTTCATACATTACCTATCTCCTTTGTCTTGGTACAACCGTCCCCATCCAGTCTTATCCAAAACCAGCAGAACATACAGTAAAGTTAAGAGAACAACGATCAATGCAAGAGCTGTCAATTGACGGAAAGTGGTGTTGAATGGACGTGGGCAGGTGGAAGGAGAGAAGCTGAAATGCCATGAAGCTGGAAATAAACAAGAGATGTAGAACCTATGGAAGAGAGAAGTTCTCGGTCAAAAAAAATGAAACAATACTTCAAGAGAGATCACAGGCTGGCAAAACGGCCACTTTTTTCCAGATGGGAATTTATCTCAGGTTGCAACTTCAAAACTGACTCGAGTTCATTCCTTAGAGTATACTAATGAGCAATTTAGTGACTAACATCTTACGGTCTGCTGACTAACCAGATTAGTATGTTTTATCTTGCAAAATTACAGATGAATCAATATTGCCTTTGAAACTCCGACACAGAAGGTTGCACCTTCACGAGCCACTCCAACCAAGGCTGACATGGGGTCATCAAGAGATGCTGAACTATTACAGGGCCTGTCTTTCAGATCAGAAGTTAAGCTGAGGCTTCCTCTACTCTCGTTCAGGTGGGCTGGGGAAAATCATGGAATCATAGAATTCCAACAGTGTGGAAGCAGGCCATTCAGCCCATCAAGTCCACACTGACTGCCGAATGGCATCCCACCCAGACCCACCTTATCCTATCCCTGTATTTCCCATGGCTAACCCACCTACCTGGCACATCCCTGGACACGATGGGGCAATTTAGCACGGCCAATACACCTGACCTGCACACCTTTGGACTCAGGGAGGAAATTGGAGCACCCGGAGGAAACACATGCAGACACGGGCAAAATCTACAAACGTCACACAAACAGGCTGGAATTGAACCCGGGTCTGTAGCACTGTGAAGCAACAGTGCTAGCCACTGAGTCAATGTGCCACCCCAGACCATGTCCTGGCGAACTGCCCTCTCTTACTCAAGGTTACAGAAGCTGATGATCTGCTTACTATCTATCACGTTGTTGCTTGTGAGAAGTTGCTGCATGCAAATTGGCTGCTGTTGCTGTTCCTTCACCGAAAAGGTGAAAGAACTCTAAAAATACTTTACTGGCTGTCCATTGCTGTTGGACATTGAGGTTGCGAAGGGAATGTAAAAAAAAAAGTCTTCATTTCTCTCTGGACTCTGTCCACCACTATATCTGCCACAAACTGCCCTGTGTGAGAATCTTGTTAACTTTCCAGAAGTTGGAATCCACTGGGTTGAAATTCGGATATGCTCCACCAGCAACAGCAGAACAAGAACCAAGCACAGTACTGAGCAAGTGAAACGTGATCATCCTGTTTTCAAAAGCCGATCATTACTTCAAGCAGTGCTGTCTGGAGTACAACAAGATTTCCTAATGCCTTTGATCAGTCGGTAATATTGCAGAGTTACTGCCCAAAACTTAGCACTTACCTGCCCATGGCAAAATGCTTCTTCTCCTCCTTCTACAAAGAGCAGCAACGATCAGCTGTCAATGAATCCAAGTTGTGACCAGCACAGCATACAGTTCTGCCAGGGAGGCACCTGTGTCCTGGAGCAGTGAACAAAAAGGGGGATCAGCAGACAATGCTCCTCCGCCTTACAACTACTCTCTATCACTTTCACACAAGTTCTCCAAGTACTCACATCAACTGGCCCGAACACAACCTGGGTGCGAGGGTCACAACGTGCTGTCCCACTTGTCCAGCAAATTGCATGGAAGTTTGTCAAATAAGTTACTCAGTTCTCAGACTGTACGCAGTTGAACAATCCAGTATCACTGTGATCATGAAAGAAGCCAATCGACCCATCAAATTCACGCTTTGTCTCTATACAGTAATCAAATTATTTCAATTGCTTTCAGCAACACATAGCTCTGCAAGTTTATTTTCCCCCCATGGGCTCATCTGATTTCCATTTTAATTCATTCATTGTCTCCACTTCCACCATATGTCAGACGAAGCAAGTTCCAGACTACCAGTGGATGTACAAAAATCTTCTTCTTCACATCCTGGCATGATCTTTTCCCGAAATTCTTAAATCTATAACACCTAGTCTCTGGATGCAATCAGCTCTAGGGAAACAGTTTTTGTCTAAACTATCTAAACCCATCATATTCTTGTATATATCTGTCAAGTCTCCCCTGAACCTTGTTTACTCCAAGCAGAACAACCCCAGCTTCTCCAATATAATTTTGTCACTAACATCCCCCAGCTCCGGAACCATTCTGACCAATCTCCTCCCAAGGACCCTCACATCTTTTCAAAGTGTGTACACCAGAATCTCACTCTTTGTGCACTTTCTGTGCAGTCGTAACATTGTATTCCTCACTCTGTTCTATTACCCTAATACACTTTGTATGGTACAATCTGCCTGTACTGCACGCAAAACCAAACTTTTCACTGTACCTAGGTACATGGGACAATAATAAATAAATCAGATCAGAACTGGGCACGATACTTAGGCAGAATATGAACACTTAGACATATATTTTCACAACAGGTCCACTGAATGCGTGTGCTGACCTCGGAACAATCACCCAGTAGGATATGACACGACAAACACATATTGAAGTATTTTTCCCAATGTACTGAAGGTTTCTGCCTCAACCACCCTGGCAGGGTGTCATTACAGACATACCTCTGGCTGAAAACACTCTCTACTCAGAGATAGTAGGAACTGCAGATGCTGGAGAATCCGAGACAACAAGGTGCAGGGCTGGATGAACACAGCAGGCCAAGCAGCATCATAGGAGCAGAGAGGCTGACGTTTCGGGCCTAGACGCTTCATCAGAAAAGGGGGAGGGGAAGGGGGTTCTGAAATAAATAGGGAGAGAGTGGGAGGCGGATAGAAGATGGATAGAGGAGAGGAAACAAACAGGTCGAAGAGGCGGGGATGGGGCCAGTAAAGGTGACTGTAGGTGGGGAGTTAGGGAGGGGATAGGTCAGTCCAGGGTGGACGGACAGGTCAAGGGGGCGGGATGAGGTTAGTCGGTAGGAGATGGAGGTGCGGCTTGAGGTGGGAGGAGGGGATAGG